CCATGAAAAAACTTTTTTTTTTTTGTAAGGGTTTTTACACCCCCATCAACACAATTAAGATCATTTAAGAAGCAAGCTATTAGGACCAACGTTGGCTGAGAGGGATACATTAGCCCCGCAGAAAGACCAATTTTAAAAAAAACCTCTGACAAAAGGATACTGTTCTCTCAGCTGTACCTCCATCTCCACCATCCAACCCAACATCACAGACAGAGGAGGTGTGGTCGCCTCGCCCTGTCGTAACGAAGTGGGGTCAAGGTGTTGTTGGTACTGGTGACACAGAACGGCGACCTCCTCGCGACCTTTGAGAGCGACGGCGTGTAATTCTTGTAGGTAGTCACTGTGGAGAGGGGGTGCTAAGAAGTTGACCTATCAGTTACTGAACTAGCGGACTATGAAGCCAGGCTTAGTTTAAGTACAAGTTTTACAGCACTTGAGAGGATGAATGATTTGCTTGTTTGTTTTGCTTTAGTAAAGAGAAGCACACTGACATAATAACAGTCATTTAGTGCTGAGAAAAGTACAACTGACAGTCAAATGCAACAGAGAGAAAGTAAGTTTTATTAAGAGTATTACAGCACTTGCAACACGCCAAGATCATATAAGTTATAAGTGCTTAAGATTAAAAGTGTTACAGAGTAACAAACACAAAAAAGGAGGAGAGATCAGGATGATTGATTGAAAGAAAGGATCAAATCACAGCAGAGCATCCACCAACCCCCTTCGGAAGGGAGAGTGTGAAGAAGTAAGACCTACCAGGGGTACCCTCCAACTACCTGCACAGAAGAATGAGAGGGCACATGTCATGTGCAATGAAATGCAAAGTACAAAAATGTGAACAGAAGAATTTTAGTCTAGTTTTAGTAACAATATTACAGCGCTTGCAAAACAAATAGGTCATATAAGTGCCAAAGATTAGCGGTGTTACTTCTAGAGAGTAACATAAAAAGAAAAGAAAGAGGAGAGATAAGGATAAGGATGATAGATGTTTGATTGGAAAGAAAGAGAAAAATACACAAGAGCATCTGCCAACCACCTACTGAAGCCAGGTTTAAGTTCATAAAGTCGACCACGACAGAATTCCATTAGACAGAGTTCTGCAAAGAACACTGACATTTGATAATTGTCAGGGTCAGAGTCATCTATAACAGACTGACACATTATTGATAGTGTAAGAGTATATCACACTGCTGACAGAATAATTGGCAGTTCAAGAATAATCTGTGGCACACTGACACAATACAGTAGTCTATGCCAAAGACCCCACCGCTTATGGTCCCGGTTCGCCTAAGATCCCACTTGTTTGGAAAAACAGAATCAAACAGAATCCTTACTATATAAAAGTCACTCCTAAGATCCCGTACTGAAGGAGCTGCATTCAGCTAAGATCCCGCTTTTCAGTCATAATTAAGTTATTTTTGTTCTTTGTTTAAGAAGAAAGAAAAAGAATAAGAAGCCTGGGCGCGCTCAGCTGTTCAACCAAGTAGTGAAAATGTGCAATCATTGTACGATCTGTCACGTCACGGATCATTCACTCTCATGAATGCGATCACACCTCTGTTGTAAATCTCGATAAGCAGTTACCATACCCCAGACAGGATCGAACCAAGGGGTGAACTCGTCGATGCGTTGCTTTCCCCAATCACCTGAGCTGTCCACCTGACCTTACGTCACACACTAGGTGGGGAGGACCTACAAGCAAGCACTAGACTGCATCTGCATTCTATCAAACTGTGAACTCGTGGACGCTTACATCTTCCCGACCATCGCTCTCGTCCTTCAGTTTTGCGTTCTAACTTCCTTGACAAACTGGCGCCCATACTCGTGGACTGACCGATCACCTCAACGTAATGGGGTCATCCGTTGGCAGTGAACCTTCCTTTCAATTTTTAAAAAATTCGGTCGGTGTGGTCACAACACAATGATTTATGATGTATCATGACAAGGGCGGGGACCTCCGTTAGAGATGGAAATCAATAAATTTTCGGTGGGGGGCATTGCTTGAAGCCAACTGGTTCCCACCTGACACCGTATTTTTAAAAAACCCCACCCCCCCACCCACAAACAAAAAAAACCCAACTGACTTCTGAAAAGAAATTTTAGCGCCCAGGAGTTACGTCAGTTCATTTTAAAGTAAGGGAAGACCATTGTACAGATTACAGGCCTGACCGTGAGTTACTGTGGACCTCCCCAAGGCCATATGGTTCAGATCCCGGTTCGCCTTAGATCCCACATTTTCCTAGCTCCCGAGCACCGGGAACTAAGGCGGAGACTACTGTGTAACAGGCCCAGAGTTGTCAAAGAGAAGCGTGTTGACATATTAACAGGCAGAGAGCTGAGACCGTGCTACTGACGGAAGTGTCTTTAGGCCATTCTCAAAAGGGGGACATTTAACATACGTTCTTATGCTCAGTGGAATTGTAAATGAGCTGATTCATCAATGTTATGCTCATAACTAAGCCTGAACTGCAATGGGGAACGGCTGCTTTTTCTTTTCTAATCCTTACTTTTCATCATTTTCCTCTACTTCTTTTGTATGTTGTACTTGTGACCCTCTATTTCAGGGGTGCCTTGATAGTTGAAGCAGATTTTGTAATGTTGAAGCTAGAGAAATGAGCAGAGTAAGCCTGATTCCCTGTATGGAAATCTCTGTTTGACATCCACTCCTTGGCGCTGATATGACCTTATGCAGTTGCGAGCGCCATAAAAACTCTACTAAAACTTTAAAAAAGAGCTGAGACATGAAAAGCGAGAGAAAAAGAAAGAAAGTGAGAGACACCCAGCTAGAAAAAAATTAAGAAATAGATGGACATAAAACAAACAGGACTTGTTTATGCCTTGCACCCTCCAACCACCCACCCAGACAAATGCCGACAAGAGATGACACAAAATAAACAACTGACCAGTGTTCTCCTAAGGACAGCACTTTGCCGTCTATCTCCTGGGACAGCTTGACCACCAGGCGTGACCTCAGGTCAGGAAACTCGGATAGTAGACCGAGACGTCCACTCTCGGAGCCCAGGACACAGTCGCGCTGTTCAAGGAGGTTGGCCAGAGAGGTCACTTCCAGCACCATTTCTTTCTCACTCTTCTCCAGTCTTGGGAGTGCTGAGCAGGAATAGAAGAAAGAGAAAGACAGTTTTTTCAGCTTTAGTAAGAGTTTTACAGCACTTGCAACACAAGTGCCGGAGAATGGAGGTTTTACTAGAAATTAACATGCAAAGTAAAGAAGGAGGAGAGAGGGGGGTACGGATGGTCTAAATAATGTTTTAGGGGAGGGGTTCGATAATTAAGGCCACCATGCACAGAGGTAACTATTAAAACAACAACTTTCTTTTTCTAAACTTACTGTATGTCTTTTTCATTTTGTTTCCTTATAAAATGAGGATAGATCTGGGGTGAAATAACACAATGAATAACAGCAGACTTAAAGGGAGGGGAGACAGAGCTAGAGTTTAGTTTTAGTAGTTTTTACTGCGATCGCAACTGCAAAAGGTCATATGAGCGCCAAGGGGTGGATGTCAACAGAGAAGTCCATACATGATGGAATCAGACTTACTCTGCTCACCTTTTTAGCTTCAACAGCACAAAGTCTGCTTCGACTATCAAGGCACCCCTGAAATAGTGGGTCACAAGAGTGTGACAAACATACAAAAGAAGTAGAGGAAAAATGAAGATAGTAAGGATGAGGAAAGAAAAAGCAGTAATTCACTGTTGAGGATCAGGCACAGTTATGGGCATGACATTGATGAATCAGCCCATTTACAATTCAACTGAGCATAAGTACATGTTAATGTTCCCCCTTTGGGAATGGCCTAAAAACACTTCCATCAGTAGCACCGCCCCGAAGGGTTACAGAGCTAGAGAATCCCTGAAGGTAAATACTGACAGTCACAGGACACAAGCATGCAATTAATTAGTTACAAAGAACATCAACGATACCTGCCACAAGTTTCTTCAGATACTTCTGCAGTCTCCGAGAAACAGCCGTTATCCCAGCCGAATGGATTTCTTCTCCCACTGTCGTCATTTTCTACAGAACAATAGAAATAAAAAAATAATTCTGCCTTCTCTTAAACTAAATGTTAAAAATACAACAAAATTAAAGGGCTCAACTATTGAGGCCCTTGTCGCCATAATTCTTGAATTTGAACTTGTAACTGAATTTCAAAAAAGCAAAACTGGCAATTGCAGCATGCCCCCCCTGTAACCCCCCGATTTTCTTTTAGGCCATCTTTATTCTCCCAGGTCTTGCTATTCCCCCCCCCCCCCCTCATCCCCCAGTGAGAATAGCTCCCATCCAGAGTGGGTATGAGACGTGGATTCCCCCGACCTCTCGCAGGCCGATGAAATCACCTAGGCCCTTGGCGGCTAACCCCATGTGGTTGGGAACAAATAATAAAACATTTTTCCGCCTCTTAAGTAAAAAAAAAAGGCTCACTACCGACGCTACTGCGAGAGGGATGTGGGACCGGCTGCCGGCCAGACCATTCGTTGTTTACACACTTAACGATGGCAGGCCGCTCTCACTCTCTGCCTGCACACAAAAACAGAGAGCGTGTACAAAAATAACAAGACACAAGCACGAGACAGTAAATGCTCTTGCATGACGGTAGAAGGGTTGTAAATTATTCAGACCAAATGGGCGAGGGCGTTAAATCGTGTTAACTAGTTTAATAATTGAACAATCTAAGCTATTTTCTTCTTTCACTTTCATTTTTTTTTTCTTTTTCTTTTTTCTCTTGCCTCTTCTTTCTCTTTCTTCTTGAACATTTGGAGTTTGGGGCCAAAAAAAGAGCCAGTAGAGAGCCAAAATGAAATTCTACGGGCCAGTCACGATCTAAAAGAGCCACATTTCTGGGATTTGACTCTAAACTGACAACCCTAACTGACTATTCGGACACAAACAGTGACGAACATGATGCTGTGGAGCTTCAAACCCCCCCCCCCAGGGTCACGCCCGCTAACCTAAGCCCTGATCCCTCTAGGGTCATTTCCCCTGTGCCTAACACAACATATCTCCGATGGATTCCACGCTCGTCCCAAAATGAAATGAACTGTGCTAGCCCTCATGGACTTCTCGCGTGCCTTCGACAAGGTATGGCGCACGAGGTTAATGGAGAAGATGATTGAGAAATCTACTCCCTGCCGCATCACCCAATGGATAGGTTCGTTCCAAAGAGACAGATACGCCTGCGTCGAGCACGGCAACGCAACAAGCAGGCTTCGCCGTTTCGAGCAGGGAGTCCCCCAGGGCAGCATCCTGTCCTCCACACTGTTCCTTGTCTTCATTGATGATATTGAAGCAGGCCTGCCTGAAGCCGTGAAGACGGGACTCTATGCTGATGACTATACAATATACGCCACCAACAAAAACATAAATCAGGCTGAAAACAGCGTCCAAGTAGCCATAAACTTACTTGAGCAGTGGGCAAAGCAAAACAAGATGGAGATCGGTACGGAGAAAACAGTGCACCCTCTTCACCACCAGCACTCACGAGGCCAAGCAAAAACCAGCACTCTCACTCAAAGGCTCCCCCATCACCTTCAACTCCAACCCCATCTTACTTGGGGTCACACTTGATCGTACTCTATCCTCCAACGTCCACATACAAAACCTTGAGCTAAAACTGTCAAGCAGACTTCGACCATTGAAAGCCCTTACAGGCACCACCTGGGGTGCCTCAAGGGAATGCATAAAGCCTAAATCATAGTATATATATTAAGCTACTTGTCGGTCAGCTATCGACTATTGTGCCCCTGCCTACATGCCTCTTGCCAAACCCTCCAACCTACAGAAACTGGAAAGAAAGCAGAACAAAGCAGCAAGAATCATTACAGGCTGCTCAAAGGATACTCATGTGGACAGCCTCCTCATCGAAGCAGACATTTTACCACTAAGGCATAGAGCTGATGCCTTGACTGCCATCTCATTCGAGAAGTCCATGGGTCTGCCTGCAACTAACCAACACAAAGCCTCCGCAACAAAATCAGTGCCCACGCGGACAGGCAAGTCGAACTGGAGAAAGCATGCCCAGAACCTCGTAGCCGAAACTGAACTGGATGCGTACCCACGTGAGGAGCTGGTTGTTTTACCCCCCCACACAACCGTAGAAGGCTGCATCATACAACGTGACTTTTAGCACCGATCTTGTCGTCGACTGCAAGCGTGCTAATGAACTAGCTGTCAGGAAAGCAGCAGCAGAGGCTACAATTCAATCGCTCCCCCTGCCCGATGTAGAAGTCTGGACTGACGGTTCAGCTAAGCACGGTACTGAGTATGGAGGAAGTGGAATACTGATCAAGACCGGTGATAGCGAACTCGACCAACGTGTACCTGCGGGCCGGTATTGCTCCAGCTACAGGGCCAAGCTTGTAGCTCTCGACACAGCGCTTGACATGCGTGTGGCACTACATACAGCAGGCAGCCTTCCGAACAGTGTACGCATCCATGTATACACTGATTCTAGGTCATGCGCCTCTCATACGGCCCTACCAACCAATCGGAAAAGGTGGCCTGCTCAATCATGCAACATCTGCACACCCTCTGTCAATGCTCTGAATGTTCCATCCACTTACAGTGGATTCCAGGCCACGCTGGACTGGCTGGGAACGAGGAAGTTGACAGCATCGCCAAAGAAGCAACAGCGCTTACCCAGATTGACACGCCAATCGATTTCTCGACAACTAAAGCCGTCATCCACCGATCGACCCGCGCAAAGTGGAAAAGAGAGGCGAAACCCAAACTGCCGTTTGCCCAGCGCCGTCATACCAGCTTGAGGCCTCGCTCAGACGACAGGACCGCCGGCTTCTCTCCCAAATGAGAACTGCTGGAAAATCGCCCAAGCTGAGATCACATCTCCATAAAATTGCGCCAGCGGACAACCCAGATCCGTCCTGTCGAGCCTGCAAGGAGGAGGACGAAACTATGGACCATATGTGTTCCTGAGATGTCCCACCAGCTATCGTGATAGAACCCGTCTGCTGGGACATTTCAGCAACCCACTTTCAGCACTTTTTAAGGACCCCCGGGCAAGTGTTGAGTTCCTGCGGGCTGTCAGCATCGCTGACTGTTTATGACGACAGCGCAAGAAGAGAGAGAGAGGGTCATTTCTGGTAAAACGAAGGGGTGAGAATAGCGAGACGTAGGTCATTCGGCCCTCTTTGGAAATTGCCTTCCCGTTCCATTGGCAGCCATTGTGAAACTGATAATTTGCCATGTAAGCGTGAGGATTGTGTGTTTTTTAAAATTATTATTATTTTTGCCAGGGGCTTGAAAAAGCCCCTCTGAAACCCCCAGGCTAGTGCCCATTAATACAGGTGTATGTAACCACGGTGGGTTCACCATTGAAGTTCAATCGGGCCAAAATATTTTTTCAATACAAAAAAGGCAGAAAATATTACTGGCTAATGTGGTAGGGTTCACTTAGCCTACATGGCCACTTTTGTCCCCTTAGCGATCACTTCTGTTTCTTATATATATGTAAACAAACGGGAAGGCAATTTCCAAAGTCCAAAGAGCCCTGTTATATTTCCTTTCTTTTACCCCAGGCCCACTGGAACTCCCCGATTGGTCCAAAGAACATATAGATCTAGACACAGGAGTCGGTGTAGCGGAATACTGCTGTTGCTGTGCACAGCACACAGACCAATTAAAATATAAAACCTCGCCAGTTGAGAAAGTTGTTGGTGATCCAAAGAAACAAAGAAAGGGAGAGCCCACGCGAACCAACGATGAAGGCCAGAGCGAATGAATGGGGAGGGTGTGGCATGCGCAGACAAGAAGAACGCATCGCGTGATATTCCAGCCCAGTCTAGATTATCTAGGCATACTTCTCTTAAGTGCGGGATGGAGAGGTCACAAGGCTGTGATAGATGGAGTGAATGTGTGACGTGCGCCGCAAGCAGACGCAACCCACCACAGGGAGGGTTGGGGTGGGGGACAACACAGTGGGCGAGTTAGCCTAGAGCCAGAGCCCCTTCTTTCTGATCGCCAACGCCGAGCTGTCAACATTGCTAGTGCTAGAGAAAGAAACCTGATTTGATTTTAGATAGTAAGACCTAGATCTTCTAGAGATCATGTTGAACAAAATCATCATCAGGGGAAATACAAAAAGGAATAAACAGAACCTGAAACTCACAGATAAGGCCTACTTTACTATTTCCCTTGAATTTATTACTGGATTCCAAATAACGAGAATCCCTATAACGGACATTTAAAGCACTGGTCCCCTCCTTCTCGTTATAATAACAGGATTCCATTGTATAAGAAGGGTCACCAACCAATTTTGCGTTCACCCTAAACCACAGAATTCTACACTGTGCTATAACAGAAAAATTGTTGAATTCTGTGCCGTAAACAAACGTTCCATTACTACTGTCAGCCTAATAAAAGCGTACAATTTTGTCATTGGGCAGTGGAGAGAGAGAGAGAGAGAGAAAGAGAGAGAGGAGTAGCGCGAGAACTTCCGGGCAAAACAAAATGGCGACCCGCGTAGTTCGGCTCGATTCGAAAAGTTTAATAGCCGTAGCATCTTTGTAGACGACCAAATTAATTTACTTTTGTGTTTTAACATCATTTTTTAACTTTGTTTTGTTCAATTTGATCGTCCACACCGATAGACAGTACAGTGGAATCCTGTTATAACGAGAGGGAGGGGACCGAAGCAAAATCATTTTGAAAATGTCCGTTATAGTATAGCACGATTCTCGCTATGGGATCCAAGTAATAAATTCAAGGGAAACTGTAAAGTAGTAGTAGGCCTAATCTATGAGTTTGGTGTTCTGTTTTCCTTTTGCTATCTCCTCTGATGATGATTTTGTTTCAACATGACCTCTAGCTCTTGATCAAAAATCGAATCAGGTTTGTTTCTCTAGCGCTAGATCTAGCCTTGTGGACTGACAGCTCGGCGTTGGTGATCAGAGAGAAAGAGCTCTGGGCTAACTCGCCCGCTGTGTTTTCCACCCACACCATCCCACCGTGTGGTGCATTCTGTCGGCTTGCGTACGTCACACATTCGCTCCATCCATCACATTGCTGTGACCTTTCCATCCCCGCATCGGAGAAGTGAGAGGCATGGCAGGCCTTGATAATCTAAACTGGCCTATCACGCGATGCGTTCTGCTTGTCTGCGCATGCCGCACCCTCCCTACTCAGTTGCTCCGGCCTTCACTGTTGACGCACATTGGCTCTCCTATTCTTTGTTTCGCAAGCTCAGCAACAAGCTTCTCAACTGGCGAGGGCTTGCATTATCTATGTATAATTGGTCTATGCCATGTGCACAGCAGCAGCAATATTCCGCTATAACCGACTCGCAAGTTTGTCTGATAGCGCTATAGCAGTATTTTGTTTACAAAGGTAAAGAGGAGAAAAAAACGGGGTTTTAGAATAGTGCCTTTATAATAGACTTCTCGTATTTTCCGGACTCGTTATAAGTGGACTCCACTGTATTCAGAAAGAGACAGAGAGAGAGAAGAGGGGAGGAGTAGATCTTGCGAGAACTTCCGGGCAAAACAAAATGGCAACCCCCGTAGTTCGGCTCAATCGAAAAGTGAAATAGCCATAGCATCTTTGTAGTCGATAAAATTAGCTTACTTTTGTTTTGTCATTTGTGCTATAACGTAATCTTTTCTTTGCCTTTATCCATTTGATCATCCACATCGATAGAAAGTATTCCGAAATTAGGAAAAACAGGTCTTGTTTCACACCGGGTGAGAATAGCCTACCCTACGGTGGCAAGTCTCACACGGGGTGAGAGGTCGATCGTATTTCTATTCTCACCGCGGGTGAGTATGCCAGATAATCTCTCTAGAATCTAGATTCTAGATCTCGATTTAATCTAGAGATGATCTAGATCTAGATCTAGATATCTAGAATCTAGATATCTAGATGTAGTTCTATAAATAATAATCTTTCTTCATCAAAACGATTTGAGGCGAGTTTTAGTGGACTTAGAGACTCAGACAGGCCATGGAACATCATATGTGTGTTCAGTTCAGTACCTAGCCTAGCGGCCCGTCGGAAAATAGGCCTATGGCAGCTTTCACAAAGGGAGTGTATACAGACCCGGTAACCGGGAACAAAGTCACAAAGTATACACACCCGGTAGAGGAACTCTTTTGTGATTTCGGAAAGTTTCAGCGCCCTCTTGGCTCAGGGTAGACCCAGGTTCTTCTAGATCTATGGCCTAGGCAGGTCTAGATCTAGATCTAGACCAAGGAGATTAAAAGTTCTACGCTCCTTGATCTAGACAGACAGACATAAATCATTGATCTAGTTACGAGGCTAGCCTAGATCTAGATCTAGATCTCTAAATGAAGATTGCGGATGTCTTTTCGATGAACGATTGTTTTTCCTCTATTTGGAGTTGGAGGAATCACAATGTGAAGAAAAGAAACAATGTCATAATTTCAGTCGAGCAGTCACCCTCTCTCTCTCTCTCTCTCTCTCTTCTGTACCGCTCACATTCTCTTTTTCTTTGTCTCTGTCTTTCTTTCTCCCCACTCCAACCTATTTCCCACTCTATCTTTCTCTTCTCTCGTTCCCTCCTGCCAACTGGGACATGTCATCTAGCACTTCCCCCTGCTCGCTCTCTCTCTCTCTCTCTCTCACACACACACACACACACACACACTACCGGGTCTGGGCGCTGAAACTTTCCGAAATCACAAAAGAGTTCCCCTACCGGGTCTGTATACCTCGTGACTTGGTTCCCGGTTACCGGGTCTATGTCATGTGCCTTGTTGGCCCCTAAAAGTCTAGATCTATCTATGTAGATCTAGATCTAGATTCTAGATATTCTAGAGATAGAGATATAGATCTAGAGTGGTGTAGCCCCTGCGCGTGCGCCTTCTCGGTGCGTGCACTTTTGTTTTCCTTTGTTTTTAGCCTCAAATTGCGTTTTTGCGTTTGATTGAATGCGTCAGTGTGTGCAGCAGCCATTTTTGTTTACTTCCATCACTCGTTTGCCGACAAGGGATCATCGAGAGTGTTTTTATCAGCTGTGGCAAGTTGACATTCAACGCTGACCTGTGAACTAGTTTTTATGACCTATTTGCCTCTGATTGGTTCAAATAGACTGTGCGCGCCCCCTAGCTTAAAAAATGTGCCTACTCCTTCCTTGAGTGTTTCACGTGACCTTTTATCGAGTTCTATGCCAAGTTGTATTGCGGGTTTCGGGATCGGGGGGGTGCACGCGTTGTGAAGACTGAAAAAACTCGAGTTTTCTCTGCGCGTGCACAATGAAATATATAGTAGAATACTAAGAAAAAAAGTAGACTCAATTTTAGAGATTATTTGGTTGCAGTTTGAAGAATGTCATGGATGGTGGCATGTGGACTGTGTGAAAGATGGAAAGATCAGAGGAATGAGTGATGAAGAGTAGGAAAATGTGGATTTTAGTTGTGAAAAATTCTGTTTGATTTTTTTTCACTATGTATTTGAACTATTTATACCCCCTAAATTAAATTAGTTTAGATTCTAATTAAAATTGCCTTACTTTGCTTCTAAAGTGACTTGTTATCTTCCTGTGTGGTCATTTAATGCAGTAATGTTATCAGATTCCTCTTCTTTCGGCTTTCAACGTGTATATATGGGTGCACGCACAGTGAAGAATCCCATGCACGCACTGAGAAGAAATGCACGCTCAGTGAAGACAACACCCTAGGTTGGAAAAACTGTTCGGCACACAACGTTTAAGAAATCTGGCGACTATGAGCAAGACCATTTAATAGGTCAATAGTTTCTTGAATGGAATAGCTAAAAACGAAAGTACAAAGCCGGAAATGGCGGAAAATACGTTCAACGATCGCGAAGTGCACGCGTACCGGCGACACCACTCTAGATCTAGATCTAGATAGATTTAGATCTAGATATATATCTAGATCTAGATCTAGACTTATCTAGAATCTAGATCTATATATTTTCTAGATCTAGATCTAGATCTACATCTGGTTGCAGAGTGAAAGTACAAATTTACCTGCAAACTCTCATCATCAACACTCACATACAAAAACGAGAGAAGAAACTTTCATTTCATGATTGCATTTTTCTTCGGGTATTCCTTTTCTTCGAGACAAAACAAAAGTAGATTTTAAGAACCGTCAGAAGATTGAGAAGAACCGGAAGTCTCTCTGTAGTCTGTAGACGAAATACAAAAGAAGACAGTAAGTCTATGTCGTAAAATTATATTTTTCGGATTTCCCCGATGTAGCCTATACAGTACTCCTTGTGACAAAAAGCACTCCTATGTCCACCTCGCTTCTGTATCAAAAGTAGATTATATTCTTTTTCCTTCTTTTTACCATTTGGTGTATCTGAAGACTGGAAAGAAAAGCGTGGCATTCTAAGATTATTATTCATACACAAAGAAGAAACAACTAAAAGAATCGGATAAATGTCGTAAAAGTTTAGCACCTGGCACCTAACTGTCGATCTGTTTTGCTTGTAATCGACGCTGGCTGGATTCTGGCTTCCAATCCTTCAATCCAGGTGATGAGGAAAGTGTTGGGAGATTGTACTTAAAACGTACTCTGTTTGCCGATTTTTGCTTATATATAAAGACTCTAACCCCCCACGACCTGAAATGAATTTATGAGATGTGCTAGGCGCAGTTTTTAAACATTTTTCTCTGAGCACAGTACTTGACATATATAATATTATTAACAGATCTAGGATTCTAGGCAGGCCTAGATCTAGAATCTACAAATATAGACTCTAGATATATATCTAGATTACACCTTTAACGGAACAACCGCGGATGAGTAGAATCTAGATCTATCTCACAATAAAAAGAAAACAATAATATAAAGAAAACAAAACGGAAAAGTACAATAAGGCTCCTTGCAATGTTCATGTTTTCAATGAGCCGGCAGTGTGCCAAGACTACACTTACTGTGGGTTCCAAAGTAGTGTCAGTATCTGCTCCTCAGCCGACAAGACCACCAAAGTCAAAGAGTTGCTCTGTCTGTCATCTCCATTATAATGACAGGCCCGCTGACAGATGCTGACAGTGGTGACCAATCGCACATCTCAACGTCCAGCACAGCAGCCACAGAAAGCAAGCCAGTGTCGGTCCAGACTGACAGAGTCGGCCAAGATGGTAATGAGACATTTTCAGATACTATCGCAGCTGTTGTGTCGGCTATCTTGGCCCTCGTATTTCTGATTGTGATCGTCAGCATAATTCGTGTCATCCGCAAGAGGAGACGTGAGCTGCAGGGGAACAGGATGGGACAACCGGTGGTGCATACCATTAGCCCGCAGATGTTTGGGGCCAGTAAGTACTCCAAAAAAAAAAGTCCACTTTGTTTACAAAGTCCATCGATTTTTTTTTACAAAAAAAGTTCACTTTGTTACAATTTCCACTTTGATACAATACAATGTCCACTTTGTTACCACGTCCATTCTGTTACAATTCAATACGTCCGTACTCTGTTACAATATCCATTCTGTTACACTGTCCATTTTTCTGTTACAAAGACCACTCTATTACAATGTCCACACTTTGTTACAATGTCCACTCTGTTACAATGTCTTCTCTGACATAATATCCCCTCTGTTCTGTTACAAGGTCCACTTTTATTACAATTTTACACAAAGTCCACTCATTACAATGTCCTCAGTGTTATGTTCACACTGTAACAATGTGCACTCTTGTATGTCCACTTTGTTTACCTCCACTCTGTTATAAATAATGTCCACTTTTTTCCACTGTTTTAATATCAACATGGTTATTCCATCTGTTACAAAATCCTGTCTGATGTCCATTGTATTGATGCTTGAATAGTGGTACATTGATATAATCAAAGAGGAGGGGTGGGGGTGGTAGTTTCAATAAAGTGGCATATTTGATCAGCATTGTATATCATGTTTAAGCCTTATATATGATATATGACACCGACTGATTTTCTATTTTTTTCTGTGGGTGGTTATCGGGTGCTCTGGTGTGATTTGCTCCTTCTTTCCTATTAAATATCTGTCGTCCTTATCTCCCCTCCTTCATTTTTGTGTATGTTACTCTCTTGTAACACCTTTATTCTGTGGCACTTATATATGACCTTTTTGTGTTGCAAGTGTCGTAAAACTCTTCTAAAGCAAAAAAACACTTTTTCTTCCCAGACACGACTGTGTTCCGCAACGCCCAACAGGAAAACCCCGTCACGTGGGAGCCCGTGGTCTCTAGCTCATCCTACATACCCAGGTCTGCGGAACTGGACAACTCACTGTATGGATTTACTTCCCTTGACGTGCCGAGCGAGGACCAGGGAGCGACGGCATCATTACCCACCACAACAACAGCGACAACATCATCAAATACCTTAGCTGTAGCATCGACATCATCTCCTGCTATATGACATCTTCATCTAGGTCAAATTAATGTCTGTCTTATGACGCGGTATAATCAGGTGCTTGTCAGTTTTTGGGCATGTGGAGTAATTTGTATCATCTTAACGTTTGTTCCTTTGTCTTGCTTTCCATGAAAGAAATATCTCTCAAGAATAGAATAATAGTCAAGATATTTGCGATTGAGAGAGATAAACTTGGCGAAAAAATGGCCGCCAAAGTTTGGTGATTTCTGTGGCTCTAGAGTCCGTAGAATATGAAAGTTTACAATTTTTGTATTTTTAATTAACGTTTCTCGGTAAAATCCACACAGAAAATGTTTTTTTTAAATGGACTTAAAATTTGGTTGGCCAAAAAAAGAAAATCTGAAAAATATTCCCCAACAGCCAGAAAAATGCTGCTTTCTTCAGTTTCTTTATTTTGACAAGCACCTGATTTCACCACAATACTTCACATTTGTCTTTTCACTTTGAGAGCTACATCTCCTGGGACCTTACATGTGTATTCAATATAGCTACTAGTACATGCACAGTCCAAATTGTTTAAGACGGCCACTCTTTGTCTTAAACAGTTTAACGTCCTACGCAGTGTCATTATAATTATGATGTACAGTCGAACCTGTGTAAGACGGAATCACAAGGGAGCCAGAAAAAAATTCCGTCTTAGACATTTTTCGTCTTAGACAGGGGAATTTAGGGGGGGGGGGGTTCAAAGGCCCAGCCGGTGGGATCAAGGATTGCTTGTCCGATCTACCAGCAGTGGTCAAAACTTCACACCTCTCAGCTGCTATCCTCTCTGATAATGACATGATCAGTCTTACTTATCCAATTACCACCAGTGCTTGCCTTTCATGCGTCCATTGTTTGACCTATTAAAACAGGAACGTTTGAACATCTCCTTTGCTTCCACCCTTAGCCCCACCCACCAATGCCACCTCTCACTGCCATCATGTAACAACGATTCGAGGAACTCTTTTCTCGGCTGGCATTGGTCAATCTAATTTCACACCTCTGGCTTCTGGCTACCCAAGAAAGTTTCTGTAGTGGCTCGCAACTCGAGCAGTCTCACGGGCAGTCGTGAGATTTCACATCCACACTACACTGACCATCTGCATCGCTCAGGGCTCACACGACGGGGTAACATCTACCCCCAAATTACACACCTACTCCCCTTCCTCGCCCAGCGGCATGGCCATAGCGTTAAGTTTAGAGCCGTCGGAACCAAACTTGCGAGTTTTGTTTCAAATCAGAGTTGAGCAGGCAAAGCATTTTCCGTCTTAGACAGGTGAAACCCTCGGAAGGGAGCAGATTTTTCTTTCCGTTTCCGCGTTGGACAGGTTTCTGTTTTATACAGGTAATTAAAGAGGAATATATCAAGGGGGAAGCAGGGAGATTCGGTTAAGACAGGTTTCCGTTTTACACAGGTTTCCGTTAAGGCAGGTTCGACTGTATAAAATATGCAAGGGAGGAAATTGGATGTGGTCTTTTGGGCAACTGATTGTCTTTTATGCTGGTGATCATTACAGCAGGTCCAACTGTATTTCTGGCATTTGCAGAAAATTTGTGTTCTCGTAAGGTGCTGTCACATTTTGCACAGAGAATTCTTTCCCCACATTGGATTTCTTAGTGTAACTAACGATCAAATTGTGTATACTAGATGTGTAGCATTTCAAAATGTTATTGTTGCTGCTAAAATAGTCTGTCTACACAGGGAACTCATGTCAAAGTTTTCTTGATTGTTGAAAGTTCCAGTTGTCGAATTGTTTCATCCAGGTATTGACTAGTTTCCTGGGAGAAAGGTTTTGATTTTGAATATGAAATGTTTAATTCTTTGATCCATCTGGAAATTTACTTGTAAATCAGGTGTAAGATCAAGATGAATTCATGCATCTTTCCTTCCAAATATACCAGTGCAGTTGTGTGTTCGATTATAAATTTTTATTGTCGAGATCCTGACACATTGGTGTTGTGTTTCACCATGTTCAAATTCATAGTCTGTAGACACATTTTGCCTACTTGGTGTTTTTAGATGTGTGCATGTACATGCATATGTGCATCATGTTTTTTTGGTGGATGTGTCCAGGATTATGCGTGTTTGTGGATCTTGAGAGCGTATTCTGACTTCTTTGAACAAATGTTTGTACCTGTACCTGTGTCAACTTGTGTGTATCAAATCTTTCATCTCAATGTCTCTTACTTCAAACAAAGTGCCACTGAGAGAAAGATGCTTGTTCAAAACTTAGGTTTTGTCATTGAATATTGCTAATTTGTATCTCTGACATGAGTAAAAATAATTATTACAGTCCAGCATGCTTATAATATCATATAACCTAACATGCACATAACAAACAGGTTCATGTCCCAAATTTTATTCTTATACATGTATCTTTGTATTCAAAACATGTACACAATTATTTCATAGCTATAATGAAAATATTTCCCCGTCCTTCCAAGATTTGTTATGTGTGTGCTAGACTGTAGTATTAATATTATAATGGAAATATAGTGATGTCCGCTTAAACTGAAATGAGCAGGACTGCAGGATTTTCCTCAGTTTAGCTGAGTTTTCAGTTCAGAGAAACAGCTCAAATAACACACTCAAAAATTGGAGATTCTGTTTTAGTTCAGTTTATCGCTGTTTTTTTCCAGTAACTGTTTATGGTTTAAGTGTACTCCATTGTAGATATAAATAAATAAGAATCTCATGCGGCCCGTACGCATCACGTTGTCTTCAACGCTCTGTCGCCAGGACATTTACCTCTTATTTGTCGCAGCCAGCTGTCTATGGTAGAAGCACGGGCTGTGCTCATGGAAAAATTACATTGTTTGTGATATTTTATACATATTGATGTGAGTGTGGTCATATATATTTATATATGTTATATATATTTATTTATTACTGGGTCTTTTAGATCTCTGATATGTTGCTTTGCTCAAAATGTTATGCAAATGTACTTTAAGGGCAGACATTTGGTCACAAGTGCATCATTACATCATTCACAGCAGCACAAATGTGACAGTACGTACACTGACTCTTGGTATCTGGTCACGAATGTTTCATTTATATGTACATTCCCTTCAGATGTGACAGATGTGTTATTGCACACATTTGCTGCAGATATTACACTTTTTTCATGGCATACATTTACCAGAGATTCTAAAACCACAATTCGGCTTTGTTCCTGAGAAGGGCACCAGAACTGCTATATATTCACCTAAATGGAAGGATGTACTGAAGCACAGAAAGATCTGTATTTATGCTTCATAGATTATTCAAAGGCATTTGATAAAGTTAGACACGATGAGCTATTTAGAATACGGGAAAAGCTAGACATAGATGGAAAAGATCTAAAAATTATCTGGAATTTGCAGGCCTACTGGGTTCAAAACACTGCTGTACAAATTAATGGAGAATACAGAGAAAATAAACAGATTAGAAGAGGAATGAGTCAAGGACGTGTTATGTCACCAGACCTCTTTTACATAATATATACAGTGAGACAATCCTTAGAAGCACAGAATGTCAAAGCGAAAGGCGAAAATATTAAAAACATGAGATATGCTGATGACCCAGTTTTAATAGCAGACTCGGGAAAAGACCTTCAATCGCTTCTAGTTCCAGATAGGCCAATGGTTGTAGCGGAAAGTGAATGTAAAGGATTATTGTTGAATGCAAAGAAAACCGAATGCATGACAATATAATATAACCCCCCC